CACTCCAAAATCCTTATGCTCTGAACACATCCTGTAAGAACTGCAACAAGTGTGCAAACTAGCTAGGATTAGAAATCTCCTTGCGTGCTGCGGGGATTGTGCTGACAATTCGAGCTATAAATTGTGCCCCAAACTAACCCTAAACCTTTGGGCTGTTGTCTAACAGGCTGGTTTTATACAGCAAAGCTTCAACAGGACACTGAGTACAGAAACACCAAAGAACATGGAATTGTGCCAGTTTTCACACAGCATTTATGCCGGGAGAAGCTATCAAAGTGGCAAAAAAACCCCAGGTCTTCCCCTTCCACCCTGGAAATGTTGGCATCAAGCAGGCACTTCGGTGGAACAGTTCTTCCAGCTAGTTTATTTTTCGTTTTTAATTGGCCAGTTTCTGGATGCATTCTGAACAAAAGAACTCGCTGTAGCCAGAATGACTAAGAAAGCATTTTGGGGGAATTTAAGAATTCTGCCCTTATCTTTTAGTCCCCAGTGCCCTTCTTCCTGTCTTGAGCCGGTTTCGTTTTCTCTCTCCAGCTCACATTTCTCTCACAACCACTCCTGAACCTCCGATAGCCACAAAAACAGCCAAATTCTTATCAGTTTCAATTGTGCGGCTGCAATCCTGTTTCTTTCAAAGATACTTACTTGAACAATCATTCTTTCAGAGGAAGATCACAAGAAATGCCCAAGAAGATTCAATATACAAATCTAGAATCAACCCACAACCATGTATTTTTTAAAAACCTAAAACTACATAAAGAACAGCCTAAAGGAAATCTCCAGCTAATCCCTATCGCCCAGAAATTTTTTTGAATTACCTGTTTACAAACAGAGTGTAGAAGAAATCTACGTGGAATTCCAAGCAAATAATATTCTTTAGATCTGGGGCTACAGCAGAGAAGATCCTGCTGCTTGTAAATAAGAATTCAAGATCTTTCAATAGCAAGCAGGACCATCACAGTTGCTGATCCTTTTTCCTTGCAGGAAGTGACCCTGGGGAGGAGATCACGTCCAAAACTGTACCTGTGTAACTGTTAGTCATACCCAATAAACTTAACCTTTTGTGACTATGGAAGACCCATCTGTGTTTATTCAGAAACAGACCTTAGGCATTCAGCAGGATATATTCTTACGCAAATGGCAGGATTGCAGCTAAAGATCTATTTAATCAGATGAAGTATATCCTTGTACACATAATTTATAGGTATATATACATCCCACATAAAAATGCAAAGCTAACCTATACCCAAGCATTTTTGTCACAGACTTTGAACTGGCCACTCCAAGCATGGCTTTGATAGTCAAATTTCTTGGACCTTTAAAACCCTGCACTAAGCAGAGCGTAGGATTTGATGTCCTTTCTCATTCTGCTTTTCCCACTATTTGTTAGGCTGTAGAATTTATCACCTGCACTATAGTGAATATTCCAAAGCTCCACTCTACATTCTGGTTGATTACTTATAAAACAGCTGGCACCAAAGAAAGAAGCAATTGTAATGGGATACATCGCGCTGGTTCACGTTTTCTGGTGGTGATTATTGCCAAGAAACTGAACCCCAAGGGCTGGGCTGTCATCTTAGATCCTCTTGCTTTCCAATAAACAAACGGCATTCCTGCACATATTCCTCCCAATAAGCCCCCGTGAAACCCAGAAGCCTTGTCCCCGAGGAGAGAAAATAGCACCCCATAGTTGTTACTGTGCAAATTCAGACACGGTCCCATTCCAAAGTTTTGCAGGCGGCACCAGCACTTCAGACTGCTCTTCCACATCCCTGGCAGTATTTACAACCTCTTTTAAGGCTTCTGGAGATCTCCCTGGTCACTTCTCTCCAATGGCTTTTATTTTCCTTCCTTCAGAAACTCTTTTTTGCCTCCTCTTGTCTTTTCTTTGCTATTTGCAGGGCTCCTTGCAGAGTGCCCAGAGGCTGGTCCTGATGCCAAGCGGTGTCCCTGTGCACTGTGGGTTTGCTGCAAAACCACAAACACACTCCTTTCCCAAGACCAATCCAGCAGATAAACCCGATGAGGGCTGTCGAATTGCTCTCATTTCAGAAAAATCTTCCTCCAACCGGTGCCCCCCAAAACCAAGACCAGGGCCCGAGGGTTGTTGCTGCTGAGCCCAGATCCAGAAGTAATAAACATTTAATAATAATAACAACAAAATACAAAGACCTACAAATGGAAATAGAACGACTATGGCAAAGGCAAGCAAGGGTAGTACCAATAGTCATAGGCACCTTGGGTACAGTCCCAAAACAACGGGAACACCACTTGAACATCAGTGGCATTGACAAATTTGCCATCGGTCAATTGCAGAAGGCAGCTTTTCTTGGATAATAATAATAACAATAACATAACAATAATAACAACAACAAAACAATGATGATGATGATAATAATAACAACAACAACAACATAATTTTTGAGTGCATTTTTGAATGTTCAGTTGACTTGAGTTTCATGCTTAATGAATATTCATAATCATAATTCTCTGCACTTTGATCCTTCTGGGTCAGGAGGGAAGTTTGTGGTCCTGCTGGAAGGTCTGTTTTGAAGCCCTGCTGGGATTTAAGGTGGGGGGGGGGAACCTGAAGGGAAGACCCTTTTTGGGGGGGGGTATCCATCCACCCCTCTGGGAGAAACAATAACAGTAGCTAATAATCATAAGAATCACAATGCACAATAATACCGGTTCATTATTGATGGGTGAAAGCCCCGCCCCGGATGTGCAGCCACCCCCCTTCATTCAGGGAGCCCAGATACCCCCAGACTCAATTCCTCTCCCCCCCACCCGTGGGAACCCCCGCAGCCCCCCCCCATT